ATTGATGATACAAATATGCATTAAAACAAAATTTTCAAATTTTCTAATCTTTCTCGAAATATGTGAGTTAACCCCTACAGAAAATTGAGTTTTTCGATAAATACTATATTAAAAATTTTAGACTCTTTATTGTTGATGAAAATTACCCAATCACATTCTAAATATTTATTAATGTATGTAAAAGTTATTTTCATGGTACATAGAAATCATTTCAAATTTTCCAACATGTAATTTATTTAAATTTCATATACCACTTACTTAATGGAAAAACACCCTATAAATAAAATCTATTTTCTGGAGAAACATAAACACCTAAGATCTAAAACCTCTTTAACATTCATACTATGTCAGTTAATGATGCAAATATGTATTAAAACAAAAAAATTATATTTTCTATTTTTTCTCGAAATATGTGGGTTAACCCTTATAGAAAATCAAGTTTTCGATAAAAGCTATATTAAGAAGTTTAGGCTCTTTATTTTTTATGAAAATTACCCAATCACATTCTAAATTTATAATAATGTATGTTAAAATTATTTTCAAGGTACATGTACATCATTTCAAAATTTCCAAAAGGTAATATATTTAAATTTCATATACCACATAATCAGTGGAAAAACCCCTACAAAGAAATTCTATTTTCTGGAGAAACATGAACTCCTAAGGTCTCAAACCTCTTAAACCTTCATACTATTTCGATTGATGATGCAAATATGCATTAAAACAAAATTTTCATATTTTCTAATTTTTCTCGAAATATGTGGGCTAACCCCTACAGAAAATCGAGTTTTTTGATAAATGCTATATTAAAAAGTTTAGACTCTTTATGTTGATGAAAATTATCCAATAACATTCTAAATAATTATTAATGTATGTTAAAATTATTTTCATGGTATATGGACATTATTTCAAATTTTCCAACAGGTAATTCATTTAAATTTCATATACCACTTACTTAGTGGAAAAACACCCTAAAAAAGAAATTCTATTTTCTGGAGAAATATGAACAAGTAAGGTCTCAAACCTCTTAAACCTTCATACTATTCCGATAAATGATACAAATATGCATTAAAACAAAATTTTCATATTTTCTAATTTTTCTCGAAATGTGTGGGTTAACCTCTACAGAAAATTGAGTTTTTCGATAAATACTATATTAAAAATTTTAGACTCTTTATTGTTGATAAAATTACCCAGTCACATTCTAAATATTATTAATGTATGTAAAAGTTATTTTCATGGTACATGGACATCATTTCAAATTTTTCAACAGGTAATTTATTTAAATTCATATACCACTTACTTAGTGGAAAAACACCCTATAAAAAAAATCTATTTTCTAGAGAAACATAAACACCTAAGGTCTAAAACCTCTTTAACATTCATACTATGTCAGTTAATGATGCAAATATACATTAAAACAAAGTTTTCATATTTTCTAATTTTTCTCGAAATATGTGAGTTAACCCCTACAGAAAATTGAGTTTTTCGATAAATACCATATTAAAAAGTTTAGACTCTTTATTGTTGATGAAAATCACCCAATCACATTCTAAATATTTATTAATGTATGTAAAAGTTATTTTCATGGTACATAGACATCATTTCAAATTTTCCAACATGTAATTTATTCAAATTTCATATACCACTTACTTAATGGAAAAACACCCTATTAAAAAAATTATATTTTCTGGAGAAACATAAACACCTAAGATCTAAAACCTCTTTAACATTCATACTATGTCAGTTAATGATGCAAATATGCATTAAACAAAATATTTATATTTTCTATTTTTTCTCGAAATATGTGGGTTAACCCCTATAGAAAATCAAGTTTTTCGATAAATGCTATATTAAGAAGTTTAGGCTCTTTATTTTTGATGAAAATTACCCAATCACATTCTAAATTTGTAATAATGTATGTTAAAATTATTTTCAAGGTACATGTACATCATTTCAAAATTTCCAAAATGTAATAAATTTAAATTTCATATACCACATAATTAGTTAAAAAATCCCTACAAAGAAATTCTATTTTTCTGGAGAAACAAGAACTCCTAAGGTCTCAAACCTCTTAAACCTTCATACTATTTCAGTTGATGATGCATATATGCATAAAAACAAAATTTTCAAATTTTTCTAATTTTTCTCGAAATATGTGAGTTATCCCCTACTGAAAATCGAGTTTTTCGATAAATTCCATATTAAGAAGATTAGGCTCTTTATTGTTGATGAAAATTACCCAATAACATTCTAAATATTTATTAATGTATGTAAAAGTTATTTTCATGGTACATGAACATCATTTCAAGTTTTCCAACATGTAATTCATTTAAATTTCATATACCACTTACTTAGTGGAAAAACACCCTATAAAAGAAATTCTATTTTCTGGAGANACCCAATAACATTCTAAATATTTATTAATGTATGTAAAAGTTATTTTCATGGTACATGAACATCATTTCAAGTTTTCCAACATGTAATTCATTTAAATTTCATATACCACTTACTTAGTGGAAAAACACCCTATAAAAGAAATTCTATTTTCTGGAGAAACATGAACACTTAAGGTCTCAAACCTCTTAAACCTTCATACTATTTCGATTGATGATTCAAATATGCATTAAAAGAAAATTTTCATATTTTCTAATTTTTCTCGAAATATGTGGGTTAACCCCTACAGAAAATCGAGTTGTTCGATAAATGCTATATTAAAAAGTTTAGACTCTTTATGTTGATGAAATTACCCAATCACATTCTAAATATTTATTAATTTATGTTAAAATTATTTTCATGGTACATGGACATCATTTCAAATTTTCCAACAGGTAATTCATTTAAATTTCATATACCACTTACTTAGTGGAAAAACACCCTAAAAAAGAAATTATATTTTTTTGATATGAACACTTAAGGTCTCAAACTTCTTAAACATTCATACTATTTCGATTGATGATACAAATATGCATTAAAACAAAATTTTCATATTTTCTAATTTTTCTCGAAATATGTGAGTTAACCCCTACAGAAAATTGAATTTTTCGATAAATACTATATTAAAAATTTTAGACTCTTTATTGTTGATGAAAATTACCCAATCACATTCTAAATATTTATTAATGTATGTAAAAGTTATTTTCATGGTACATAGACATCATTTCAAATTTTCCAACATGTAATTTATTTAAATTTCATATACCACTTACTTAATGGAAAAACACCCTATAAATAAAATCTATTTTCTGGAGAAACATAAACACCTAAGATCTAAAACCTCTTTAACATTCATACTATGTCAGTTAATGATGCAAATATGTATTAAAACAAAAAAATTATATTTTCTATTTTTTCTCGAAATATGTGGGTTAACCCCTATAGAAAATCAAGTTTTTCGATAAAAGCTATATTAAGAAGTTTAGGCTCTTTATTTTGATGAAAATTACCCAATCATATTCTAAATTTGTAATAATGTATGTTAAAATTATTTTCAAGGTACATGTACATCATTTCAAAATTTCCAAAAGGTAATAAATTTAAATTTCATATACCACATAATCAGTGGAAAAACCCCTACAAAAAAAATTTCAATTTTCTGGAGAAACATGAACTTCTAAGGTCTCAAATCTCTTAAATCTTCATACTATTTCAGTTGATGATGCAATTATGCATTAAAACGAAATTAATTTCTGGTGCAAAACTATAAAAAAACATTAGAATTGTTTTGCGCTTCACAACAAAACATTTACAAACTTATAGAATTGTTTTGCGCTGAACCTGCCCGTCAAAATTCATAGAATTGTTTTTGTTTGTCGAACATGAAACCTGCCTTGTTTAACAAATTCCACATGGAAATTGCTTAACATGTAGATAAATAACCGGCCATCTTAGCTTTCAACATTCTACTATTACCAAAGTCAAGAAGCGCCTGACTGGCACCCGAAGCCAATTTGATGACAACTTTGAATGATTTTTAACCTTCATTTCTTTTCTTTTATTTTTTGAAAAGTAGTCAATGAAAAAATATAATTATAGATAAGTCAGTATACTACTAAATATGTGATTAGATCTCACCAAGAATATTCTTCTGCATCTTTGATCATTTATCCTTATATTAGTATATATCCAATGATTACTGGGGTAATCAAACACCAAATACCTGATAATTGTTTGGAGCTTATAGCTAAGTCGTTTAAGAATTTTTAAGGTTCTTGTGCTCTCTTCTTGTGATGGCTTCTCCACTGACGGTCTCGCTGCTATAGCTTCCAGTTGAGAGAGTGTTATGCATATACCGAACAGTGGCTGGTCCTCGGTTTGACATGCCTGGTTTCGTCTGGAACATGATGGACCAACAACACTCACTCAACCATGAGGTTTTCCAGGCAAATCATCACTACTAGGGGGGGGGGGGTCATAAAAACAAAAATAAACGAGAGGTACATTTTCTCAATAAAACAAAGTTCAATATCTCCCATATTGAATTGTTCCAGTTTAGGAACACGAGATAGAGAGAGAGCTCAGCCTCCATTAATTTAATTATTATGGGGCTGATGATCACTGAAAAAGAGAGATCTGAGGGACCTTTGTATTTTTTTTTATATAACACTATGTATGTTTGTTTGTCTACTTCCTCTGGTGGGGTATTATTTTCTTCAAGAGGATGATAATAGATTTTTTAAAAGACAATATGTCGAAAATGTTGTTGTTCAATTTAAAAGACAATTTGTTTTCATTACACCACCTGACATTGGGATATTAATACTTTTGAGCATATTACAAGAGATAAACTTGTACATGTTAATGTTACAAGTAAGGACATAACAATCTCTGCCATTTCAGAAATAGATGAAGATGAATTCTCTCGTCTTTGTTGTTTTTCTATCACAATCTGCAAAACAATAATAGTAGGCCAATGATTCAGGAAATCAAATAGTAAATAGAGAGCGAGTATGATCACTACAGTATGTATATACACGAACCTTGCAATGCATAGGTGGTTCTTAAGGATAGTCAAACTCCCGTGAAACCTGAAGAAAAAAAAAGCATATAATTAGCATGAAGGTGCGTAAGCTAAAGAAGATCAAACAAGTTGGGTTATTAAGTTAAAGAAAAACAGATGCAGAGGAATATATTACCTTTGATTTTCCCACCTCGTGCACGCTTATATATATGGAGAGTGGCACATCCATGAACACCTAACAAGAGAACGTAAGGTTTTAAGTTTTAATTTTGATTCTGGATTCACATATATGGATTTTGCAAACACCTCGATAGAATCTCCTGGTGGTATAGCAAAGCAAATGCTCTGGTTCCTTTTGGTAAGGAGAGATGAGATTAGCAATACAGATAGATCAGCAAATAAGTTAGCGACTTCAGCTTTGAACATTGTCGCCATATGAAAGGCTTTCCACGGTTCTACAAAGCTCAGCTAATGAGCAAAATCCCCAACTACTCTTCCCTGAAAAAAATACAAACATTAAAAAATATCCGAAGTAATCAAGTAGGAACTTAAGAGAGAGAGAGATCAATCACAACCAAACCTGAACGACTTAAGCTAGTAATACAAATGACGCAACCATTTGCTGAATCTCTCTATCTTAAGTTCCTAATTTCAGTACCATACAATCAATGATAAACTATAACACATACCTTGTATGAAATTGAGAAGAGCGGTCGACAGCATCTTCTTTAAAAACCCATATCCAGATAAGCCTTCAACGTCAAGTTCCATAGCGCAGCATCACTGATTCCTAACCTGACATACACGAAAAAAAAAACAAGAAACACGCAAACAAAAATACGAATGGGGAAACTCTTAATTACCAAACTGATTTTGAGTGACTAAATTGATCACAAAGTGTATAAAGGCAAATGACTGCATTTCTATTGTCTCACACATTATGAATTTAGTGTCTACCAATCCAAAAAACTAGAATTTGTTACTGGTTTTGAGTGACCAAATATGACAATGTGAAGACAATAATGAAACTTAACGTCTCTAACGGACATATTGACTGCACGCTGCATTTCTATTTGTTTTACACACTATAAATTTAGTGTCTACCAATCCGCTTATCTAGACAATCACGGTACCGCTTATCTAGACAATCACGGTACCGCTTATCTAGACAATCACGGTTACTGGTTTTGAGTGACCAAATAACAAATGTGTAAAGACAAATCAAAACTTAACGGACAAATCAAAGACTGGACGCCACATTCTATTTGTTTTACAAATTATGAAAATTTAGTGTCTATCAGTCGGATAATATATAGAATTTCCCCAAAAAAAAAATTAAAAAAAAAACAGAGAAGAAAGAGGATTACATACCTTACACGGTTGAAGAAAGGGGATTCCATTTTTTTACTTCCTGTGAAGCTCACCTACAAAGCAAAAAAACAAAAACATCAAGAGAAAAAAATTTGAATTCAAAAAGTGCAGTAAGAAAATAAATCTTTGAACTCAAATTATACAATACGATGCCTAAGGTATTTAATTATCATATATGTCATTCAACTTGTTGATTAATTCGACAATATAGTAGAAATATGTAATTTGGTTTGGTAAAATTAGACTTACCATACACTGTTTATTTATTAATAAATATAAAAAGTAAAGTGTTAACTATCATTACTTATTTAACTGTGAAAGTAAAAAAAAAATGGAGAACTGACCTTTTTAATCTTGTAGCCATCTAGTACTAAAACACGCCATTGGAGAAGCAGCTTTAGCAAATATACTTTATGTCTGCAAGATAAAAAGGAAACTTTGTTATTTTACACTCAAAGATGTAAGGAAAATTTCAAGATACTTAAAGAATCCATCAGCCACAAACAAAAGACTGTCCTAATTCATTTTGCTTCATTATTCTATATCTCTGTGTCTAAAGCATTATTTAACAAGCCATATGACAACAAGCTACCTGAGTAAAAGAGAAAGCAGATGCTTTACCTTCCAAAAAAAAAAGTCTCTGATGTTCTTTGAGTAGTAGATGTTGCTCTCACCGCTGAATAAATCATTGCAGATTTGAGTTGTTGTTGTCGGGTTCTCTGCTTGCTCACTCACTCGTTGATGTCTTCAGCTTCTTCTTGGACGAGCTCAGTGTTCCAAGGGAAGCACCAGTTTTATTTATTAACAGAAAAGAGTAGCTTGTAAGCTGGTTGATTAATAACAAGAACAAGTTTGAAAGGCTGTAGCCTGTGTAAATCTGTAATGGAGAGAGAGAGGAGACTGATCTATAACACATACCTTGTATGAAACTGAGAAGAGATGCAGCAGAGGAATCAGAATCTAACGGCTGAGACGCACAAGTAGTGTTTGTTTGTTCGTTCCCGAGGGAGAGAGACGTAGCTGCTTAATGTGATTTTAACTCATATATCTGCAAAGCAAAACATAGAAAAATTTGAATATCAAACTAAACAATACGATTCCTAGTAAGGCAAAGGAAAATAAAAAAAGAACTATCCAAACAGATCTCTAGTACGTACCTCTATCTATCAGTTGATGAGCGAATCAGTTGGATCCGGTCTAGCGAAGAAGGGAACGCCGTTGAAGTTTCTGTCCGAGAGAGAGAGTGGGTGTGTATCTGAATTATTTATAGGCGAAAAGAATATATCCAGCAACGGCTACTTCCGATTTGACTACTGACTCGACTCGACTCGACTGCCTTCGGCATGGCGGATAATAGAAGACAGTCGCAGAACCCGTACCCGGTTCAATTAATGGGCCTTATCGTTCTAAATGTCTTCCTCTCTTTATCTGGATTCGATTATTGGGCTTATCATGCTTAAATGTTTGAAACTTGATAAGCCCCTCCATGTCGAATTTGGCATTCACTACTAAACCAGCAATTGAGATATTATTCGCCTCAAATCATTGAAAATTTGATAGCATCGCATTCTGATTCCATAGAGAAACAATACCCACTCCACTTGCAAAAATTAATCATTTTTACAAATTGTAGACCCAATGTACTAAATATTACATTTATGCATATGAATAGGACATATATATATATATATATATATATATATATATATATATATATATATATATATATATATATATCTCTAGCTTTGAGTTTTGTCTATGTGTCACCATCCGAATAACTCATATGCTTACAAGAATATCTAAACGTACGTAATATTCACCATTCACTAATATTAGATTTATTGTGGATTGAAGGATTCGTTAGAATGGAAAACAAACTCTTCGAATAAATAAATAATAAATCACAAAATCAATCTTATGAAATGTAATTGAAACCAACATTTTTATTTCATTGTTGGTCAGTTGTCATTTGATCAATTACGGAGTATCAAAGCGGCTATATGTAAATAACATAACAAAATAAAATAAAAAAGAGAGAACGAAGACAAACAGAGTCGTTATTATCATGAAATTTATGATATCATGATATTTCTTTCGAACTATTAACAGGACCACGATCGTATTATTAATTAATTTTTCTTTCTTTCATGTATGTATAATACATAGTAGTGTAATAATAATATATATCATAAGCGAGCGTAGATTACAAGCCGTCATAAGCAAGCTTGTTGGTGAGCGCCAGAGCATTACTGCACAAGTGCATACACCTGGTCGCTTTCCTCTTAATCATCCTGACCGTCCACGATTTACTCATCGTCTCCTCAAATCCATCAAGACACGTGTCCTGATCCGTGAGTGCAGCGCTTAGCCACGTCGCGAGATCGCTCATCTGCTGCTGAAACTCGTCGGCGTCTAGTGTCCGGAGAACGGAGAGAGACTTGTACAGATTGTCGAGGGAGTCAACGTACAGCTCTCGGCAATCCGACAACGCGACCCTCTCGCGTTTCCCGACCGCTGGAGAATTCCGCGTTTTGAGCAAGAGTCTTAGGATTCGTTTGGTGTCGGTTATGGTCACCGCGACGCCAGCTCGGGCCCACTTGCTCGAGTTGTCTTTAGCGACGATTGTAAACGGCCAAAGCGTTCGGAGGCATAGCTGTTGGTATCGCGTTACGTTACACGCGTCTTTAACGTACCTGCTGTACCGCGGTACACTAGAGGCGTTTGTATCGTCTGTGTAGTTGCGGCTGGAGGCTAACGGCGGCAGAAGAAGAAGAGAGAGGAGAATAAACGTGATGTAAGAATTCATGTGTGTGTTTTGTTTATTATAGGTTAAGTAGAAGAAAGTATCCAAAACTTGAAAGAATATATTTAGAGAGAGCTAGGGAGTATATGTAATATATAGACGAAAGGAGACGCGATGGGATTAACTTTTAGGATTCGCAATTGTGGGATTTTAACTTTTAACCTTTTAGATTAAGATACAAGGACGTGATATTGAAGTTTTAGAGCATGGGGGCGATCCATTTGTAGCTATAGCTATAAGCCACTTTTGGGTTTAGGTCTGTGGTGTAGTTTTCAATTTCTTTTACCAAATATAGACTACCACAACCTTCTATAACTAAATTTTTGAAAACTACTATTTGTGAATTAATTATTGGTTTTGGCATTTCACCATTTACCGTGACATTCTCTAAGATAATATCTATATAGAAAAAGGAACAAATTACAAGGTAAAATCAACATTGCAGAATCTCACAAAGTTAAATCACAAAATTACTAGGCAACAGAAGCTTCGAAATAAAACGGTGGAGCAGTTTATAATTAATATTGTAAAATAAGCTTATCCGATGATTGGCAATATATTAGTAAAGTAAAGAGGGTTGCAGAGGAAGCAAGAGAAAGGTGCAAAGCAATAATAATGAAAGTAAAAACACCATGCAAAAGTCACTTGGATTGGTAATTCTTTAAGCTTAGTTTTTGGTCCCTTAAAATCATTTAATGCTGCGAATTATTGAAATTTGATTATTGTTTTCCTTGAAGCAAGAGGGAAACTTTAGTCTTTTAAACAACATTTTAGAACGTGGAGTTAGTTTCACAATTATGGCTAAATAAGACTTGGGAGGTCCGAATCAACTCATTCAATACCCAAAAAAGGACCGGTTACAATATCGTTATCTAAACCGGTTGATTCACATTTAATATTTGATGGGTTTCGCATTGAAAATGATTGAGCTCACTTAGTTATTTTTACATAACGTTAGCCCAAATCCATGGCCTAACCACATTTTGATGTGCCGTGCATCTCTCCTGCTATGATATAATAGCGGCAAGGTTTGTTAAGAGTTTGGTTCGTATAAAACAGAAACATCTATAAGATATCAGGTAGAAATAGAAGAGATCGTGAAAAAACCTACATGTTGTGTAAAGATTGAGCTCACATGATTGGGATGAAACGAAGAGGAGATTTATGAGAAAATGAGGGTAGATTAAACCAGTGGGTGATTATGATATGAATAATAAGAAAAGCAATGAATCTACAATATTGACATTAGATAGCATGACTGCAAGTATATTCAGAGACGCATAAACGTAGTATTTTTATTATCGGTACAAGAACTAGGCTCTAGCTACCAGTTAATGACTAGGAAAGCTTAGGTTCATGATGGTTAAGATGGTCTCTCTACGTTTTCTGTGAAATGATAAAAACGGTATGAGCTATATCTACTATCTATTGAACATTTGTTTACAAGCAAGAGTGGAGGAACTAACTTTAATAAGCTCATGCATGAAACAAGACAAAGCAAACAAAAATTTACTTGATCAATCTAACTATCTAAGCATGAAAATAGAGATCAGAGCAAAATCAACCATTATCTCTACTCCAGTGGGAGTTGACAGTCTTAACAAGCTTTAGACAACATTTTCGAGATTCACAAAAGTAAAAGCCATCTCGAAATAGCTAACCAGGGTTAATAGACAGAGACAAGGGTATCACAAAAGTAAATTCCTTTTCTCACACCATAAGGTCATTGGTTGTAAAGAGATTTGTGAAGGCCTGAGGTGTACTCACCAAACTGGGTGTCAGTAGGAGGATGGAGATCAAAGACATAGGAGACTGGTCTAGAGACTAGCATAGGCTTCTGGATGGTGACTGTGTCTGAGAATTCACCGAAGCTCACTGAATTGTGAGGGAAAGACTCTCCAAGGAAAAAGAAGCTGTCTCTGGCTAGCTTCTCAACCTTGTGAAAAGGATGAAAACAAAAATGAATTGAGTAGACAAGCAAAACAATTAGAGAACCTGAAAGCAAAACAAGACATATACTTTACCTGTAAGTTTGAGAATCTGATGTTGTTCATAGTCAGAACTACTCGGATTATACCGTAAAGACCATCGCCCAGTATTCTGATTGCCATGTACTCGAAGAAATTCTGCACAACTGCTTTCTGTTTCTCAGGAGTTTCGCCGTAGCTGTCTGGGTTAAGGAACCATAGCACGCATGTCACTTCATTCCATGGGATTGGGTTCTCCTCTCCTACTTTTGAGATGATGGTTTCGTAAGGATGACTGAGACCCCAGAAGATTCTTGTGTCCCCAACTGATGAATCACAGAAAAGCGTCTCTGAAGAAGATGACGTGGAGAGTATTTTCCAGGACGGATAACGGTTAGCTATACTTGAAGTGAAGTGCATGTCAGAGTCGTCGAACACAAGAATGTATCCCTCAGAAGTTGGAAATAGATTCAGGAGAGGCGACGTGGAAGAGTCATCTTCTTCTGGAAGGCATGGGGGAGGAGAATAGTATGGTGTTGTCTGTCTTCGCATGACATGGGAAAACATACAAGATTCTCCGTTTCGACACCCCTGCAAAACCGACTCATTAGCAGACAATCTGAGGATAACAACCCAACTAGGACGGTAAGAAAACAACCTGCAATGACGCGAAGAATCTGCAGGCTGGTCTTGTTGACTGAAGAGTATGAGAGAACGCGCATTGGTCACCTCGGTTGCAAAATCCATTAAGAAAATATACGCAGACGGGGACCTCTCCATTGTCAGCGTAATCCTCAGGTTCGATTGCTCCATGGCCATTATCAGATGTTGCGCCCTGCGTTCTTATCTACGCCAAATAGAAACAGTAAAAGATCAATGTAATGTAAAGAAGAAATGTTGTTTTCAGCTCCAGAATTTAAGGCACTCTTGTCAGTGACAAAACTTGGCACAGTGAGAAGATTGATAATCCTGTAAGCGCAATTGCTTTAGAAAAGGAAACGAGGTCGGCAAGTCAATACCTCTTTCAAAATATTGGCCAGGTTTTTTGCGATGGCATTAGCTTGGAATGCGTTAGGAGGAACAAACGGCAGCGATACACATTTTCTTGTTTCAAGGGGAGGTTGATCCTCAGAGTGTTGATATCTATCCCCAGAGGCTTGGGACTCAACACAGCATGTGTGATCAAATTCATATGGATAGTAATAGGTTGGTAGAGAATCAGAAGAACTAATGAACTGAGGTCTGAAACGATGAAGTGAGCTGAGTGTATCTTCATCTGTAAAACAGGTGAAATTCCAACAAAAGAGGGAGAAAAAAGGCTATTAGCATGTTGATATATAAACTGTTTTCCATTATCTAAAACGGAAAGCTTATAAGAAAAGAGTAGGTGACAAACTTACACATCTCATACACATGATAAAACGATGAGCGGGAAATATTGTGGAAATCACACCACTCTTGTTCAATCGCAGGAAGCATCAACTTGAGATCTTTGTCTTTCTCCTTTGACAATAATTGTTTTAAGCTTTCAACACGATGCTTATCCTTCAAGGAGAAAAAACATTAATACGATCATCAAGAATAAAAGCTAGTTCTCCTTGGGAATAAAACGTGACTATTTTATTACCTTAAAAACACGCTGCCAAAACTGAAAAGCACATAGGTTCGCCATGAGTACCACCTCCCTCCGGCCACCTCCCTCTCCACAAAAATAGTGGTCAACATACTCCAGAAACTGCAAAAGAAGACAAGTGTCGATTTTTAAAATCATGATAAAAAGGCACGCAGAATTGCAGAAATATTCACCAACAGGACATACCCGTGCATCATCTCCAAACGGATGATTGATAGGAAGCGGTTGGGTATCCATCAAGACACCTAATAGAATCCCTTCTCTTAGCATTCCCATTTCACCGAACTTGACTACGAGAATGGATGCATCAAAGGACAATGGAAAGCTGGCAAGCAGCCTTCCATAAAATGTTGGCTCGTAGCGTCCTCTAGAAGATTTCCGCAATGCTTGTATGCTTAATAGCATACTCAAAGCATCACCAATGACTTCTGGGTTTGGTGGATCCATAGCTTTTGCCAGCAATGCTAAGATATAGAAAACAATTACACTCAAAAAGCATTATATATACTGCCTTTTAGTCCCAAACTACTGTAATCATAGATCATATAAGCGCCCGTTTTCTAATAATAAATGAAAGAATATTTTCCACCATAGCCTTCATCTAAGGTACCTCACTGTTAATGTTCAATTACTGTACCTACAGAGCATTCATACGGGAATATGCAATAGGAATTTAATGTGATAAGTACTTTTGCAGTATCAGAAGATCTAGCAAATCTGACTGTCCTTACTAGTTCTCAGGGAACCCAAGTCTAACCTCGTCTGTTATAAGAAGTCAAGTATTCTCTATAGGATACTAACATTATTACCGTTTGCATCATTAATGGCTCTGGATTCTGTGCAGCAAATGTGGAGAACTTGCTGTCTCAATGACAGCTTAAGTATAGCTGGGGGCTCATGCTCTTCAAGCTTGTTGAAGAATGCACTCGGCACCAGGCGATAAACCTCACCATCACATGTTCGACCAGTCCTCCCTCTACGCTGCTCAGCCTATTAATCCACATAAAAAAAACTAAATTTTAGGACATCCGCTTTTGATCCATTATTGGTAAAGTCCGACAGTACCTGAGATCTAGAGACCCAAACAAGCTGAACTGCATCTCTTTTCCTGGATGCATCCCAGAACACTTGCAGAGACCGGCACGAATCAATGACATAGGCCACTTTGGGTATTGTCACCGAAGATTCCGCAATATTTGTAGCCAATATTACCTGAGAATAACAGTTAACGTTTATATGATAAGCCCTCTACCTAGAAGTATAACAACATTTTATTTTATTTTTGAAAGAATTTTAAATTTATTCAACCAAAAAAAAACAGAGAAACTAGTGCTACCAAAGCTAAAAAGAAAAAATTACAACTCTTAAGACAATCAAAAAGCCAAAACCAAATAATCAAACCCCCAAATACTAAAGAACCTTCAAAAGCATCCCCCCTCAAGATTAACCATATGAAACAAGTCAATCTTGGGATGAACATGAGATGATCCTCATTAAAACCTTATTAAGGAAAACCCAAAATGGGACAAAACCTTAACAAGGAAAAAGAGTGAAAATCTCATATTCAGGAGGATGCTTGACCCGATCAAGTACACAACTACACTTGCAAACGTCATTGACCCATATACTCAACAAAACGATGCCTGAACACGCAAGATGTTTAACACTCTACATGTGAAAACACAATTGTTTGCATCACTCTTAAATATAGATCTTCTCTAGTTACTTAAATTTCAGTTGAGTCCTCTCACCTGCATGTCACAGATAATGCAAAGAAGAAGAAACATGGAAAGTTAAAAAGAGAAACCTTGCGACGGGATCTGCATATCTTCATGGCCGCCAGAGCTCGTTCGGTGTCAATGCTTCGGTGCAGTATGTGAACCTCAAAAGATGCGCGAAATGGTTCCAATTGATACCACTGCTGCTCAAGTGAGTAGTATGTTGGAAGGAAAACCAAAATACTCTTCTCAATGTCTGGTTCCTTTTCATGAATATGTAAGATGAGATCATGAATAAGATTCTGCAGATCAGGTTTGATTTCAGTATCAGCTGAAGAAGGACTTGGACCAGGACAGTAAGCTGAAAAATCAGAACTCGCACCAAGCAATCCTGCGACCTGGTGCATGAAACAATGTCGTACTCAATGAACTGGGAAAGGCTTACAATTAAATAGATAACCAACCCAAGTCAATTATAAGTGGAAGAGAATCAGTGGGATGGTTAAATAGTTTCCTAAGAGCAACAGATATGAAGAATAGTTTGAAAAAGTTTAACCTGGTCAAGATAGAATACTTTTCTCTGGAAAATGGTTCTCTGATCAGGGCTAGGAATAGCGACAACTTCTACACGTTCACCCCTGCCGAGTTCTTTAAAGTAGTCTCTGTATCTTGTTATATCAGCAGTTGCAGACATTAAGACAACCCTGAGAAAGAAAAAAAACATCAACTCTTTAAATTTTCAGTTGAAACTTTCACACGGTTGAATATGAAGACATAAAAGAAACTTTAAAAGGAAGAAGATGGGAATATAGACCTGAGTTCAGTGTTCTTCATGAGAAACTGCTTAACACAGACAAGAACAAGGTCGGACTCGACAGATCGTTCATGAACTTCATCAAGAATGATAACCTTGTACTTAAGAGCACTCAAACCCTTGTCTAGCATTTCATCCAACAAAACTCCAGCAGTTTTGAACAGAATTTTGGAGCTGCATGCAACAATAACAACAAAATGAAAATTACCACAAAAATATAGCCATATGAGGAAAATATCATTTGTTTAAAAAGAGAATAATGTCTGTAATGGATCCGATCAAAGTCATGAAGATGGAGATAAGGCAGAGAGAGAGAGAGAGTAATGTGCGTGTGTTACCCTTGAGAGAAATTCTTGGAATGACCAATGTGGTAACCAATTTCTTCACCTAAGTCAGAGTTGCGAGATTTAGCAACCATCTTAGCAACAGCAACAACAGCAAAACGCCGAGGCTGGGTACAGAGAATGGGTCCCATGTTTGCTTCCAGAAGGAACTGTGGAACTTGCGAACTCTTCCCTGAAGCAAAAAAAAAAAAAAAAACAAGGACAAATGAACCAAGGGATTAAGATAAAATGGAAATAAATCAGTTCATTCATGGCTATAAAAACAATTGATAAAGCGTGCGAAAAGCTCTATGTATGTATTTGCCCTAAACGTAAGACAGAAGCCAATCAAATGAACCATCCATCCAAAATCGCAACTAAGACTATATATAAATAACCTACCAGAAATCCAAAATAAAAACAAATGACTGATCAACTAAACCAGAATCAACGGCGAACGGGAACACAAAAAAAAAACTCAACAATGACGTATAATACTTGCAGTGATAGAGTAACGCAATAATAATAAAAGAGACGAAAGCAAGAGAAAGAGCGTACGTACCGCAACCGGGTTCGCCGACGATAAGAGTGACGCGATTCTCGAGGATTTTATCGACGATTCTACTCTTCATCGCCGCAACCGGGAGCGAAGCGAAACTCGAGGAGGGTAGCGGAAAGGATTCCGAAGACGAAGTGGATGAAGAAGAAGGCGCCATTGTCTGAGTCCCTCTTTCGTCGTCAGTACGCAGAGGCTGGCTAACCTGTTTGTGCCAGTCACTTCCTTCCTCTACACGATGCTTATAGGGGAAGGCGTTGATCTGGTGCGGACGAGTGTACACTGAGCTTTGATTTGTAGTCAAGCTTGATTTGACTTGCTCTGACTAGTCAAATGAGAGGTCTCCGTACTTGTTGTGCGGGTGTATGGTGCTCCCACACACACTCGAGAGATTGCCCCTGAATTACCGTGGGTCCCACTATGGAAAAAGTGCCGCCAATGAGAAAGAAAGAAAGAAAAAGAGTGGGGACGGACGATAGAGTGTGAATCAGCACTAGGGAAAAAAGTGAACCAGGCCACTAAAAGCCCATTAAGCTAAAAGTCCATCATCAGAAACTAGTATTTTCGGGTGGAGAACCCGAACCGTGGAGGGAGAAGATCCCTTCCTTGAATCAATCAATCAGAGCTATCTCAATCTCAATGGCGTCGGGATGGGGGATAACGGGGAACAAAGGGAGATGCTACGATTTCTGGATGGATTTCAGCGAATGTATGTCTCACTGCAGAGAGCCCAAAGACTGTTCTCTTCTCCGTGAAGATTACCTCGAGTGCCTCCACCATTCCAAAGAGGTACCCTTTTCTTTTCTTTTTTTCCATTTTTGATTTCATTCTATGCTCATGGTTATGCGTTTCAATTTTTAGATCAGACTGATGATGAATGTGTCTAGATCATGGATTTTGTTGTAATTTCATTCATCCTTAGATCAGAGATACTCGGTTTCCATTGACTTATTAGGTTCATTTGTGTTCATGCTAGATTCTACCCTTTGTAGATTTTGTAAACTGCTTCTTATTGTTCTCAGATCAACAAATTTGGATATAATTTTTTGAGTAAATAAGTCTTCATATTATTCCCTGAGCTCATTGTTTTGTTATATAGATTGTGCTGCCTGCCGACTCAAAGATGGAAAATCAACTCATTTCCTCTGATTCATTTTCAACTTAAACATACGTTTGGTCTCTTCTCTTGTGTGTTTCCTTGTCTATAAAAATAGTTTATGTATCCATCAGTCATTGGCAAAATCTTATCGATTCTTAAAACCAATGCATTAGTGTAAAGTGGTGACTCTATTACTATATATTACTGCTAATCTCTCCCCAGTAGCACATGTGTTAGTAATGATTCAAGAGTAGATATTGAGCGGCATTTGTTGGTTTGTTTGCAGTTTCAAAGAAGAAACAGGATCTACAAGGAGGAGCAGCGTAAACTAAGAGCTGCCTCTCGGAAAGGTGAAGAAGCTGGGGATGGGACTCATACACATCACTAGTCATCACTCCTCCAAGTTTGCTTCTTCATCCCCTTCCAGACAAGAAGAATAATTGCAAGATTTATTATCTTGTTCAGACCAGAATCTCAAAAACGCCTTTGTTCTTTTGCATTTTATGGAATGATGTTCTGCTTTCTTTTTTCATCTTCATTTTCTCAACTTTGGAGTTGCAAACATTAACTTGAGAGACGTATCTCTATACTCTTTTCACCTGAAATTATGGAGCATCTGCTCTACTTTTTATTCATTTCAACTCTATCCAACCACAAAACTTCTTTAACTGCTTCAATTTCGGCAAAGCTAAGTGTCGGTTGAATCTTATGTTCAATAACAAGGGTTCTTGGAAAGCTCACAATGTACATTGGAAACCAAGTTATAGTTACATCATAAAACAAGTTTTTATCCATCAAATAAGTCTCCAGTTTTCATCTTTTTATACATATTGTTCATACCCCTGGTAGAATTCTTCCAGGATGAGGCAAGGCAACTTCTCTCAGAAGTGTCTGTGCCAGAAGCTAGAGATTGTGCGGTGAATCGAGGGGACAGGGAAATGTGGAAACCAATCTCTCTCCCATGGATGAAACTGATCGCTTTCTGGTTCACGGTGTCCACCTGATGTGCTCGGTGGTTGTGGTGGAGGATAAATGAAGAAGCCAACGTTCTGATCTGGCATGTGTGGTGGGGGTAATCCCCTTCTTGTCACTGAGACCAGCGGTGATGCGAGATTGGGACCAGTAACATGATGTTGCCTCTGGTTATTATAAACATGATGCTGCTGCGTGTGAAGGTGTTCACGCATTTGGGCATTGCTGCTTCCTTGTTGAGTGTTAATTGCTGGGGAGGTTCTTGGATTAGACCTACATTGCCCAAATCCAAAAGAAAGAAAAAAAACATTCTTAAACCTGCTGCAAAAGTTGAGAAGATATTACTGAGAGCAATACGGAACACGAGTAGCTAACCGGTAACTAAAGAGAAATGGGTGTGGATGAGAAATGCCCCTTGCTGCTGAAGAGTCTATTTCACCATCAATCACATGAGCACCTGGGAGAGAAAACGATGTGGAATGATGATGATGATGATGAAACTGGGGAGCAACAGAGAGCTGGTGAAAGTGGTCAGTAGAGTGGCTGTTCCAGGGATGGTCATCTGCGTTGTTGCTGTTATCGCTAGTTCTTGGGGTGGAGGCTGGACCTGGTGCAACGTATGCAGGATATGAATGGTTCATAGCGACGGCATGGTGCCCATGGAACTCATTATGATCTAAAGAAGAGAAGAGAAATGCCATCTCAAAATCATCAAGCCAATACGAAATGGTCGGGTACAGAGAGAACAACGTCTAACTTACATGTAGTGGCTGAAGGTTCCAGTTCCCTAAGACATATATACAGCAAAGAATAGGAGCAATAAGGACACAAAAGATGAATATTCTCTTGCAGTAGCAAAAAGAGAGATGATAGACGGTAAAGGGTGTAGGCTTACTCGAGTGAACCTGCTTGAGAGAGCTCACCAAACGGGCACCAATGGACTCGATATTGCTGCACAAAAAAAAAACGGAAAACGATCTCATATAGTTGATGGAGTCAAGGGGTTGTATGATAAAAGCAACAGTTTCATATAGTTGATGGAGTCGAGGGGTTGGTATGATAAAAGCAACAGTTTTCATGTACAGGAAAAAAAAAGAGAAAACATAAGGTTGGACAAAGATTTACCATATCGGGATAGCTTAAAGCATACAAATCTTCATCGGGGATCCAATCATCCATGACAAACTCAGGAAAGAGGCGAGTAGAGCTGCCATTAGCAAACAGCCACTGACCCTTTTCAACATTACGACAGTTGGGGCATTGCATTTTACCTTTCGTGTTAAAAGCCGATCCAATGCAGTCTGAAAGAAACTCGAACAAAAGGAAGCTGAAGGGTAAAAAGCCGTAGTATATATATGTAGCAACAGAATACAGCAGCTATGCTATAAGATACTAACTTTTGTTAGAGACAGAGAGTCACTTCATCCTCATACAAAGTGCATAGTCATAGCGATTTAATCTTGCTAATAAAAGCTATATTCTCCTCATAAGCTAATGTTCATACGAAATTTCGCATCCGTTATACTTCAAATATCTACCACTAGACGATAAATAATACACAAAAGGGGTACAAATAAGCTAAAGCAAAAGGAGAAGCCTTTAAGTCACTGATTCATCGAAAATTTATATTTTTGATTATGGTCTAAAATGAAATTGATTGGATCCGAGAATAGAAATAACCAGAAACAGGATCGAACGAACGTACAAGTCATATTACCAATTCTGATCGAAGAAATGCAAAAAAAAAAAAAAGACAGATCAAGGAAAGGAAAGTTTAGATTGGTCGGGAAATGAAAGAAATACCCAAATGGAATTGGTGACCACATTGGAGCTTAGCCATGGATCTGGAACCGTCATCGACCACCAACTCGAGACAAATCGAGCACGAGATTTCGACAAGAGACGAAGAATCATTGTTCCCGCGCTTTCCAGGGACTTCTGAGGCGGAATCTGTCGATTGAATAGCAATCCGGCGGTTGTTACGATCATCATCATCATTACCTCCGGCCATATCTCAATCGGAGGGAGCCCACACAAAAAGAAAAGAAAAAAAAAACTCGGTTCCCAAAAAAAATGTCAAACAAAAATCATCAGCGTCGCTCTCTCTCGCCCTCCCTCCGAATTGGTCTGCCTTTTCGAAAGCCGATGCGGTAAATTATAATCCTACTCAGACATATTATCTCTATCCTTGCTGAAAACCAGACAATGACATTGGACTCTACTTCTTTTTTTCTTTCTTTCTTTTTCTCGGACTCCGTTTTATTTTATTTTATTATTTTATCATCCAAGTCCCAAATCAACATTCATCCAATCCACAGTCTTTCTCTCTCATATGACATTTTCAAGTTTTTATTTGTCTCCTTGTTTGTAAGGTAAAGCAGATGACCACAGTAGTAATATTAAACGTCTATATATAAACAATATTTTTTATGAATACAAGAGTAGATAGATGATAATGTAATGAACAATAAGTGCAAATGTTGGATCGATCGTTTCACATTTTATTTCATTTCACGGAAACTGACTATGCAGATGCTTTGACTCATGAGATAACAACTTGGGTTGTCTAGGTACGTATCATCAGACCTTGATCTTAGGTTTCTTCACGATCATCACCGAGCAATGAGCATGATGTGCACAGTAGTCGCTCACGCTCCCCAGAACCGCCCTGTAATTGTAAACCGACAAGTCACGATTGCCAGGAAATTAAGTAAGCCGGGGAAAATGAGTCTATATAAAAGATTGTAAGAGTTTTTTTATAATAATAAATAACCTCTTGATAGCTCCATAACCATGGTTTCCCACAACAAGAAGAGAAGCATGGTGTTTATCCACAACATCACACAGGATACTTCTTGGATCACCTTCAAAAACTTCGAACATAGCGCCATGAACCTACGTATACAAATTACTGATTGAGAAGAAGATACAAGTAACCAAAATTATAAAGTTAACATGGAAAATAAACTAGTGCATGAGTATCTTATTAGCTTGAAGATTTTGAATGATGTAGAGATTCACACAAATTAAATTAAATAGATACCCTCATCAAACAGTACTCCAATATTATTACATATGAATTTGAAACATGGATCATTCAAGATATCAATTTATCATTTATGAATTAGTGTCGAAGAAGTAGGTAAAGGGTGAATAACGTACAGATTTGCTCTGACAGATTCCTTTGGCCATCTCGATAACCCTAGCAGCAATATGCTTCAAATTGGCATCAACGTAAGGCACAACCTCCGCAGTTCCTACAAAGAAAAAAACAAATGATCTCCCTCCCTCCCTCTCAAACAGAGAGAGTTCTAGCTAGAAGAAGACAGTTGTTCCTCGTAGCTAATCAAAAATCAAAGAGCGTATAACGTACCGGGACCAGCAAGACCAACGGCAGAGACGGCGTTAGGTTTGGCGTGGACGATAAAGAGCTTGAAGGGAAAATTAGGAGCGTAGGGAGCGAAGAAACGATCCAGGGTCCACTCCAAGGCGTAAGTGCTCTGCTCGCTTTCGTCGATACCCACCACCATAACAGGTTTCTGATCCTCTCCCGTAGCCATCAAGAAAGAACGTGTGTCTTGCTTTGGAAAAGAAAAGCCTCAATTAGCTACAAGTTTCCAAAATGTAGCAGAGCAAAGAGAGAGAGAGAGAGAGATCCGTGTATTAATTAAAATGACAAAGGAGTTTGTATACAAGTACAACTGAAAGAGAATGAATGTGATACTTTTGACTACGTGGCTGGTCCTCGATCGTTACTTTATGCCACCAACTCTTTTTGATTATCAGAAGTAACTACTAGTACTATACCGAAACATCATATTCCTTCCTGCCTCCACCACATAATATTTTTTTACGTACCCCATATATACCTACTTACCTACACTTGTCGTTATGCGATTTGTGTAGGCGAAATTAATGTTATCTATTTTCATTTTATTTTCTTGTTGACTGATGTACGTACAACCACCCTTATTAACGTTAAAACGTTACCATCCTTAAGCAAATTTGGTGGATTGATACAATACCATACCATGCATATGCATGCAATGGTGAATCACTTTTTTTTGGAGGTGAAATATAGTGAATCACTTTAAGCAAAAAAAAAAATATATATATATATATATAGTGGATCATTTTTCTTAACACATGCATGGCATCATTTCTTTATATATAGTGTATTATGTATACTTTTCGTATTCGAATTTGTAGTTATGGAAAAAACAAATGAGTTGAAAGGATAAAAAAAGAATATGAGAAGTGAAATATATCTGAAGCTTTAATTAATTAGCGTAATTTAGTATAGATTACAAAAAGAAACAGAGAGAGGAAGCGGGACTAGTGGTGGTGAGAAGTTTGCGCAAAGAAAAGAATGGCAACAGCGACTTCTTCTTCTTCTTCTTCCCTTTGCCTTAGCTCTCCTCCTATAAAACACCACCCCTTCCCTTTGCCTTTGCCTTAGCTCTCTTCCCTTTGATTTTCATCATCTTCATATCTGACTAATTAACGACTCTGCCCTTTCCTTTTTAGCCTTTCGGTCAAATCCCTGCTCTCCTAGACGGTGATTTAACGCTTTTCGGTGAGTTCTCTCTTTTTTTTCCCTTACGTGTTGATCATCAAGTATCAATGATGACACACATTAATTCATTTTGTTTTCAGAGTCGAGAGCCATCACAGAGTACTTAGCAGAGGAGTATAGCGACAAAGGGGAGAAGCTTCTCTGCCAAGGCTGCAAGAAACTGAAGGCCATCACAAAGGTTTGGCTTCAGGTTGAAGGTCAGCAGTTTGACCCTATCGCCTCTAAGCTAGCCTTCGAGAGTGTCTTCAAAGGCATGCTTGGCATGACCACTGACCCTGCCGCTGTGGAAGACCTCGAAGCTAGGTTGGTCAAGGTCTTGGATATCTACGAGGCCAGGCTCTCCAAGTCCCCCTTCTTGGCTGGTGACTGCTTCACTTTGGCTGATCTCCACCACCTCCCAATCATCTATTACTTGATGGGTACCGACTCCAAGAGGCTCTTTGAGTCTCGCCCTAAGGTTAGCGAGTGGATCAAGAAGATCACTGCCAGGCCTGCTTGGGTTAAGGTTCTTAGCCTCCAGAAGCAGCAGTGATCTTGTTTCATCTCTTAGATTTTTCCTTCGTTTTAAATAAATTATTTGTTCTTGTTGCTTATTATTATTAATGTATCTTCTTTTGTGTGTGTGTGTTTTGCTTATTGTCAAATCACTTAGCTAAACAATTAAACTTTTTATCATATTCAGTTACTGGACTCTGAAATGAGATGAATTCACCAAAGATGAATATATAAATGAAAGACTAGTATGAGGAAGCAGCTAGCTAGCTGTAGAAGACAAGTTGCTCTGCAATTTTGTGATGACTTGGGAACCAAGAAAGGTGGACTACCCTTGAGAAAAGCAGAGTACCAACGAGCAGACTGCATGTTTGGGTGATCTCTCGCGATCGCTGAAATGAACAGAGTACAATTAATCCAAAACTAAACTCGTACAAATATATAAAAAAGACCACATCAAGTAGCCTCTCTCGTATCTGATCCATTCCTGCAGCACGTAGAAAAGTGTGCCTTTGTTTTCTTTCTTTATGACCACTAACAGGAGAAAAGAGAAGTAAAGATCCAATAAAGAATCACTCTACTTACCAAACGGCTTTAAGAAGAGCACCAATGTAAGCATGTAAGAGCTCAATCCTTGGTGTGTCCTTTTCTTGCAGCTGCAAGTCTTGCTTCATGGGTTTACCTATTCGTTTGCATGGGTGCATGTCACATACAAAGCTAGCGCAGCAGCAGCACCCACAAGGAATATGGTAGCTTTCGCTCCTCTCTCTTGACTCTACTGCATACTTGCTAGACTTTTGATACTACTAACACAAAAGCCAATGCAAATCAAACCGGATCCCTGTTGGACAAAAAACAATAAAAACTGCGCATCCAGGGAATCGAACCCTGGTCAGTACCGTGGGAGGGTACTATGATACCACTACACCAGATGCGCTTCATGTCTTACCTTTTACTTAATTGTTACTGAACTTTAATAAAGACAGGATGGTTCAAGAATAAAACCAATCATAGTTGCATCCTCATATCAATCTCATCCAAATCAAGTTTGGGTTTCTGTGTGTTAAGAAGCCAAGTTTACAGATCACAACCCTTGTCCACGATCCTGATGAGATTCAGTGGGATGTTCTCAAAGGATATTTCCACATTAGAAAAATGTATAAGTAAATGAATAGAAGTCTCAGATGAGAACCTTTGAGATACTCTTAAGATATCATAAAAATCACTTGTCATTTTCTAATTAATTCAGTTCTTTAAAATTATATAGTTGAACAATATTAAAATATCATTATATATTTGCTAGAACCCCATTTTGAGATATTATCCCAGTGATGTTGCTCTAACATTTAGTTTTAAAACTATTGAGTAGCAAACACACAAGCGCCCTCACATGACTGCTAGTGCTAGCTAGCATTACAACAAATCAGATCATGGTTATCATTTAGTTATTACCGAGTACTAATTAGTTTACTCTCTCCTGATCTCATAATCAAGGGGACCAGGTTGGATCACGAGGGCTAAAGAAGGAACCGATCACGTGGCCGTCCAAGAGCTTGAGCATAGCACTGTTTGACTTAACACATCTCGGCGTTTTGTACTGATTAAGCGACCCTCCTTGGCTTATTATCATATCCATCAGTTTCTCGAACGTCCCTGCCTTCACCACTCTTATCTCTAACGCCCCCACCGATCTCTCTTTCTTCCTGCATTGCCTGTATATGTAATCAAGCTCCTCCTCAACCGCAATGCAACATTCTTCCATCAGCTTCTCCTCGAGCTGCTCTTGTCGATGATCATCACCAGGTTCGAGCCATTGGATCTCCCAGAACAGCACGTAGTGACCTGGCACTGATGAAGTATCCGCGTAGCTCGTGTACTCCGCGAGGAATGCCTTGTCTTGAAGCTTCTTCTTGGCCAGCGTGATGCTCCTGTGAAGATCTTCCTCGTTTGTTTTGTCTAGATCGACGCTTAGAACCACGTTTCTCCTGCAGATAAACCTGAACTGTGGTGCTTCGTTGTAGAAACCCGCCACTTGAAGAACATCGCCGATTCTGTAACGGTACAATCCTGTTTCCATGCAAGAGAGTTCAGAGAGCTGTCTAAAAAGGAAGAATTAGATAACGTTACCAGTTTTCTTTACCTGCGAACGTTGTGACCACCAGTTCATAGTAACGTCCGAGTTTGACGTTGACCAAGTCAACCACTCTATCACAGGGGACTTCTCCTTCGTCCTCTACGTCAAAAGAGAGAGTCCCGTTTTTGCCGAGTGGAATAAACTCGAAGTAGCACATGTTGGGCAAGAGAGTGAAAACGACGTCAGATGGCTTCGAGAGTGGCTTCACGTTGACTCCAAAGTAAGTCTCAGAGGAAGCATACATTGGACAAACCAATGGAATCTTGCCTTGGCTAAAGAACTCAAGCGCTGGTATGTACTGAGCCATTGACCCTGTCACTACCGCTTCAATGACCTTTGCTTGAGGCCAGAGCTGACACAGAATCCCTTTCCACAACGGGCGTCCACAGATTTCTTCTATCTCATCAGCTAAGTCAGGATTTGGCGAGGCTAAAAGAGAAGACATAGCCATCTGGCATCCTGGATCGGTGATCATGGGACTGAGGTGACCGGTGCGGATGTCTTGGCAGAGCTGGCTCCATTTTCGCTCGAGATAAGAGATTGCACGGAGAAACGCAGAAGCAAAGACAGCTCCAAGACGCATGACTTTGTGACGGTGAATAAGAGCGGCTAGCAACTGACAGTACATGCTTTGGTTGCTGTCTTCACAAAGGATGGTTTGGATCGGACTGGTTAAGTCGTTGAATGGATCATAAGGTCGGCACTGGAAATGTTTGCTCTTGTAGTAGCTAGTGAGGACAGATCGGATTGGTAAACCACAAGGAGTTGATGTTTCAGCTTTTACGAAATTTAGGTACATTGTTTTTCCTTTGTCAAGTCCTTTTAGATACCTGTCAGTAACATACATATAATAAAGCTCAGTCAAAAACAGAGGAGTAAAAGAGAGATGATGGTAAAAGAGGTTAAAGAAAGAAAAAAAACATCAGCGGATATGAAAAGATTCTCGAGGTTTAGTGAGTGCTGTTCAAAATTCCCAGAGAATCTTTGGGTGGGGACATCAAAATGGCGTGTGGATAAAAGATGATGGATGCAAACTTTATAGTACATGATATGATACCACTTATTTCCTCATAATGCAAACACAAAAACTCAAAGGAGAAAGCAAACTTTCTTAGTGAGCAACCTCTTATGACGATTTATTAGTACCACGGTCAGTACCTGTATGAATGTGTATCTAGATTCCATTTCTTCGTGCCTACAATGATTATGACACCATATGTTCACGTTGAAGCCTATCTTTAAGAAAAACCTTTTAAGTTTTTCCTTTTTTTTTGGGTATGTTTTATTAAATATTTTCAGTGGATAATAACATTGAGGAGTGTGCTGTGATGTGTCCTTCCACTTTCATAGGTAAGATTTTGAGACGTATCCATTATCCTACAACTACAGGAACAGTCCTAGTGGTTCTTTTATGGAGTATGAGAATCAACCTCTTTGATTTATCAAGTAAATATCCTCTAAACGGTTTTAGAGAGCACAGCAAGGAGAATTAAGAGGAAAACATTGTACTAACTTGTTCACGATTGGAGTGATAAGACTGTAGACAAAGGTGCGGCGATCAAGATCTTCAGAAATTGTGGGCATTAGCTTTGGCTCTCCACCAGAAGTTCCTGAGCTGCAACATGCCAGAAAGCAAATATATATATATATACCTTTAGCTACACAAATATTAAATATATATATATTCAACCACAATGGAAGGGGAAGCGACCTGCATAGTATCTCAGTAATAGGATGACCAGTAATAAGAGAAGAGTCTTCTCCGTTTGCAATTCTCTGAATGTAAGGACTGACATTTTTGTACGTGATGATTGGCACAGAGCGTTTAAACTCCAGAACGTCCTTAGAGCCTTTCATGTGCTTGATCAAGTACTGTGTGTCCTTGTTTTGTTCCAAGATCCCACATAAAATGTTATCTTGGACTTCAGCAGCCTTCGAGGTGATCCTCTCGAGCTCTTTTAATGCATAGTCACCCTTGTGGTTGTAATCAAGCTTCCGTTCATTCATTTTTTTTTTTTTTTTGCTTAAACCAAAGACAAAACTAGAAGAAGAAGAAGAAAAAGGATGAAGAAGAAGAGAGGTGATGAATGCCTCAGGACTCAAAACATGAAGGTGTATTTATAGTGGGTTAGCCATATTTACATACCAGAAATGAATATTAGCTTTGTCCTTGAAATGTATCAGTTAAAGGAATATAGAAAGAAAAAAAAAGATTAGTGCTGATATCATCAATAATGCAAGCTCAGCTTCAAGGACAATACGTATAAGAAAAAACATGTACTTAAAGACACTAACAAAGCAATATTGCGTCAACACATAGCTTCCTTCTACTTTTTACTTGAACCAAATCTAGCATATCAGTTTTAAGTTGACTTTGTGTCACACAACACCACTTCTGGTCATTAACAGCACAAACAGGGAACCTTAATGGCTATGAATATGATCAGCCTGAGTCATGTTGCAGCCCCAAAAGAAGATTCATTAATATTTCTAAGTAAATGAAGAGACTGTTCAACATGAGAATATGTGAATCAATCTCAACCATCCTTTTTTTTTAATCAAGAAATCCCAAAAGGGGGCCACATATTTTTATGATCAACTACTATCATGATCATCAAGCTTTAGAACATGATGCGTTTGGTGCTCGCCGCATCTGACAAATTTAGCGGAAAGTCCACCACTAACTAAGCAATTGCTGACGCTGCTCTGTCCCTCAAGAGGAACAACTCTAACCAAACATTGTGGAGACTGTTTGGGTGGATTCTTTTTCATATGCAGAAAGGTTAGTGACAAACAAAGCATACAAAAAGCTGAACTTGGATCTCTCTGACATTTTGGTGACTCGGTTTAGCATATAATATATCGCACTACTAACCTTTGTGAGTAAATCCATGCATAGTGATTCACTTCTCACCATTCCCATAAAAAACAAAAGAGATATATCTAAATTCTTTAAACTCAGATAGTATTAGTTCACAGTCTTATCCACAAGCTGGATCTCTTCCCTGTTTAATGCTGAGGAGGATAAACAGCACACAACCAATAAACTTAAATCTTTTTCCTCTCTAGTTATTTTTAATTTGAACCATTTAAGTGCAAGAAACCATATCGTAGAGACCCTGGAGAAGCCTATGTCTAAGATGAAAATGAGAAGTTAAAACAAAAAACATCATATGAAAATACTTGACTGTTCTAATGTCACAATCAAACTTTTGACTCTATAGTGACAATATTTATTATTCCTGTGCAAGTTGCGAAAAGGTTAAAAAACTTCACCTTTTCTTTGCATCTTTGTGTTAGTGGAATCTATGATCAACAAAAAAAGCAACAGACAAGATGTTATCAGCTGTAAGAGGTCGTCTATCTAAGGCAAATCTGAAAGGTGGCTATAAAAATTTTCAACAGTAAGCATTTTCTATTAACTCTCATGGGAGAAAAAAAACTTTAGATTCAATGGATGCAGTATTACATGTATCAGGACTGTGTAACCACCGAGTCTTATCTTATTTATTAACAGAAAGAAAAAAACAAATGAAGATGACACTCATGGTAAGGAACAAAAATAACTAAAAAATAAAAATAGGTCGAGAAGGTTAATCAAAAGCCAATGAAAATAATCTCACGTCTTCCTTCTTCTGGAGTCGAGCCTTAATTTGCCAGCACCAACCAATGCTTTACATCAATATTTAACAGAAACATCACGAGACAGAGAAAGGGTTTCTACAAGTGAAAAACTCAATGTTTACTTTCTTTAGGCAATGATCAACAGTACACAAGGACAGACAGTGACTAATGTAAACCAAGAACACAAAGAAAATCCTAAAGCTTGTGGATAAGACTGAGGAAACAGTTCTTTTTTACTTCCTTTTTTTCACAATCGATCACTCCAATATAGAAGTAATAACAAGAGAACAATTAGATGAATTAGCAGGAAGTCAACAAGGACAATAGTATTCATTCTTCATTGGATTTCTATGGTTACACATGAGCAGACGTATAATACGAAAAGAGAAACATTGCACTCGAGAATAAAAGATAAGTAAACCCTCGTGGTTACATTAGACAGAAGGAATCATGAAGGGGATAACAGAGTGACCTGGAGTCCTGAGATTCAGCTTGATCCAACTCCCATATCGGATTTGACTTGTCTTGATCATAAGTCATAAATGACTAGGTTCTATGCTACAAGATCAAAATGCAAAGTTAAATAACAGAAGAAGAAGGAAAACAAATTTTACCATGGATTGAAGAGAGGAACAGAACAAGAGTGAAAAGTCTAATCCATAAGTTACCATCTGTTGAAGAAGAACTAGCAGTTGCAATGACAGGTTATTCGTAAACAAGCACATATTCTACAGCGCGTCAAATCAAGAAAAAGATGATTAAGAACCCAGGTTAAGAGCACGAAACGATTATGAAGCACAAAAAGAAAGAAGCTATTCTTTTAGTACAGGATGCCATTTGGGAAAAAACAAATCAAATTGTTCTTGAGATGAGAGCTTATGAAATACTAACTTCTTTCTTTCCTTGGCGGGGACACGACTTTCGAATCATTTATGACGACAGTAACTTCTGGGAAGACGATGACCAAAAGAAGTGAAATAATTCGTTTCCATCTTTCTCGAACGCACACAAATAAATAGTTAGAAAAACTAAGTAGTAGCACAGATTCCCAATCAGATAACAAGAGAAGAGCGAAACCAAAGTAAGTGTAACGGATAAAGGTTTAATTCAAGGACGAAATAACACATGTATATTTGGACAGAAACACAAAAACTTTTAGTATAAACCACCATAAGATTGATTAGCTTATCCCATACACATAATAAAGCTGACTGTAAATTCTTTAACTAATCAAAAAGGTTCACTTCTGCTTTTTGTGTCGTTGATCTTGTTTGAGTATGTAAGGATAATCTGAAGGACCAAACCAGAGACCCAATAGGACGGTCAAGTGTAAACACAGTAACAAAGCTGATGAAAGTGGAGTTGATGGATACACGTTCCAGCACAGCTCGATACCCAGGAACAATATCAAGCTTTTTTTTTAAGTCAAACAAAAAACATGAAGACGGGTTACTAGAGTTTATCAAACTGTGTGCTTACAGGTAATAATATTGCAGAGAGTGATTTACCGCAGCCAAGTAGGAAACGAAGTTCTCCATAGCAGATATGGCAGGGAATAAAAGTACCTGTTATGAATATGATCATACAAGTGGGTTTTTGAGGGCAGGATCCAGCAGAAATGTCAGCAAAAAGAAAACTGTTTTAATTTTTACTGTTACCATGAATAGAATTGGTAATGCAGAGAACGAGCACAAAGAACGCCAATGAAATTCCCAACAAACATGGTCGTTACAATATCTGTTAATCCAGTGGAAAGCCCGAGAGTAAGGACACAGACGGATATAATACTAAAAATAAAGTTAGTGCTTACGTACGTTCTTTCGCAAGAATCCCTGAGGTTGCAAAATCACTGAACGAGAGCGAAGACGGAAGCGTCAAGAAGAAACGCCTAGAACGCATGAAGCCTATAATCCCGCCTTCATGCCTAGGAAAGGAAACATAGTAAATTCGTAATGTGAAAGACGCTATACACACAAAACGACAGCTGTTTTATGAGAAATGACTTATTGAGCTAGACAAAGAGTGTTTCTACTTACTTGCACCATTTGTAATTTGCAAACACCGCAAGGAGACATAAGTGAGCAATCAACAAGCACACTGCAAATTGTTTGGACACAAAAACTCGTTCTGGAACAAATTTGAAGTTAACAGACCTGTTGAGAGCTCAAATCAGAGTGTTAGAGATCACAAGATATATTCAGATCCCGTTAGTAACTTAGTTAGATTTAGCGGGAGAGTGGAGAACAATACCAAAAATGGATAAAAACACGTCCAAGATCAAAGGCGTTGGCAAGGTATGAAACCGGATAAGTTAAAAGAAAGGGCAATCCCACGAGTATCTGTAAAACCATTGAGTGACCAGTTGAGTGGTAGTCCGGTGCATAATGAAAATTACATAATTCGCTGGATACTGCAACTCACCTATTCACAATATACAACCAGTTAACAAGAATCCAACATTCCATGGGAAAACAAGAATTTGGTGAATAATAAATGGGAGTTGTCAGAGATATAAAGAGAAACCTGAACAAGAGCTGCACTAGCTAAAGCAGATACCACTCCAAGTATATTCATAGCCTGTGAATAGTAAATCTTGGGATATGAAGAATGAAGAATAATAAAGCAAAAAACATAAACTAAATGACTTCCACGGACCTTAAGTAGCAGAAGTAACAAAGGAGGAGCATACAAAAGTACATTCATCTTAATAGAAACAGCACCGCTGTAAGTAAAAAAGTCACAGTGAGTCACAAGGATAGGAATGAAAACATATAGTAGAGGGGGGGGGGGGGGAAATTGCCTGAAAAGAAGCATGCCGAGATGCCATTTACGAGAGAGGAAGAGAGCGATGGAGGCATGAAGAAGAGTCATGGCAAAACAGTCATTAAAGAGACGGAGAACAAAAATGGAATGTATACGCTTGGATAAACAGAGCAGAGTTAGCGCCCACCATGGCACCTGGGTAAGCAGAAATATCATAACAAGAGTTGTGTTACTACTCCTAATCCTATCAGTAAGAAACAATATAAGGCCTTGATTAGTGTTGTTTAATACCACATCAGTCTTGACATAGATGAACAAGACGATGGCCAGATTGGCAATGTAGAGAGCACCAAAGAGAATCTGCAACATGAAAGAGACAACATTAAACGAAAAGGTACCAAGAAAAAGAGAGGGAAATTGCACGGTACCTGAGCAGGGTAGACTTGTCCTCCAGTCAAATTCTGTACAGCAGAGTAAACATAGAGGAAACCCGCTGGGTAAACCAAAGGCCCTGTGTCGCCTTTCAAGCTCCCATAGTCTCTCTCTCCCCCTAGAAACCCACTTACCTGCCCCCACCCCACATTTTGTAAACTCTTCACTAACTAAAGTATATTTGCAATAGGATGATCAGGAACACAAACCTGTGACATGTAAGCATCCCAATCGATCTTCGTGTCTGTCAAGGAAAATAAACATAAGATTGAGCTTACACACATTTCGAATTCAACCAGAAAAATGTAGGAAATTAGATCTGACATGGAACATAGGCGATGATAAGTGCGACGAGGATTGCATCTGCGACGATTAAGGCCAACGCGAATGGAATTTTAGGCTTCTTTAACAGATCGGGTACATTACGGCTACGAGAAGCTCTTGAGCTTGCCTCCATTTTCGCACCGCCGGTGATTGAACAATCGCACCAGCAGTCTGTTGTTAAGAATCCAGCGTACGCCGCGAAACAGACAACTATTATCTAACTAACTCTTCTTAGTTTAAGCCCATATTAAAGCCCAATTTAGTCCTGATTACTGGGGCTTTTGATCTTTACATGAGCCCACGTGCTTACCCACTTTACTATTACAGAGTCGAGTCATATCCAAAACAGAACACGTCTGTGTCAACTACCCGCCGCGTGTCTCTCTGGCTTCTTTGTTATAAACTTGAGCTCCTCATTATTCTCTTTTGACCAAGCTTCTTCTCTCAATTTTTCTCAATCTCAAATCTTAAACTCTTAAATGGATTCTCAGGACATTAGGTACCGTGGTGGAGACACCGCAACAACAGCTATGGCTGAAACGGAGAGGAAACAAGCAGCTGACGGCAACAACAGAGGCAAAGGCAAACGCGATCATCACAAGAGGGCGATGGCTAAACGCGGTCTCAAATCTCTGACGTTAGCTGTTGCAGCTCCTGTCCTCGTGACGCTCTCCGTATCCTACTTCCTCCGGAATCGAGCTCCGTCCTCCTCCTGGATTCCATCTCTGTCTCTGTGGGTCCTTCACTTCATGCGTCTCGCCTCCAGCGGTCTGATGGGCTTGGCTGCGTGGTTAGTATGGGTCGATGGTGGGTTCCACAGAAAGCCTAACGCTCTGTATCTTTACTTTGCTCAGTTTATGCTGTGTTTGGTTACTTTCATGGTCGGGTCGGGATTAGCTGCTGGACTTGCAGTGTGGTTGGGTCAGTCTGCTGCTTTGTTCGGATGCTACAAGGCCTTTAATGGGATCAGTCCGGTCGCTGGTAATATAGTCAAGCCGTGTTTGGCTTTTGCTGCGTTTGTAGCAGCCGTTAATATTGTAAAGCTCACAATCGCGTGAGATCTGTAAGACTGTAAACAGTAAACGCCGACGATGGATGTGAATGTGATAGTCTCTGAGATACTACGGTGTTGTGGCGTCGTAATCAATCGTTTTTCAAGTGTTTCAAACAAAAACATAAAGATGTCGTCGTGGTCTAATCGGTTAGTATGATGCGTGCCCATTGGACTTTAATATACACCAAATTTAACAAAACAAAAGTACGGTTACATTTGAGTCCTGCGTCTCCTTGATTAATGTAGATTTATAGGCCGTTCACTCGGACTTTTACCCCAATTGATTTATTTGGGCTTTTCAAAGCGAAAATAATAGGCCCAAATAAGTTTGAAGACGTGATGGAAAAGGTAGGGCTTACAAAAGGAAATACTACTATACATAGCTTTTAACTCTTTTTTTTCTGCATTTTGCCTCGAGTCTCGTGCCAGACGGAATGGCAGTACCTATCTTGTAACAGAAGAGTGTCGACCCATGCCCTGACACGTGTCTATAGCGGTCCATTAGCAGCAACACACGTGTACTAGCGGTCACTCGTCTCTCACAATCTTTGTCTGTCTACAGCTCTAATTAAAACAGATCGTGTATTCAGTCCATTCTATTTAAAGAGTAAATTCGTCGTACGCAAGCAACGACTCGAAATAAGGATTTGACAATGGCGGAGAATGAGATTGTAGTCGAAGAGGAAGTGCCGCCATCTTCTTCTTCGCCTTCGTTAATTGTGGAAGACTACGACCAAGGGACAGAGCTCAAGCACTTGGGTTTCGTCAGAACCGCGGCTCTTTACTTGTGCGTCTGTTTGTCGACGCTCTACGAGTTGGCTAAGGACAACGCTGGTCCTCTCAAACTAGGTGTCGAGAATATCGAAGCCACCGTTGAAACGGTACTCTCACCGTTATACGACAAGTTCAGTGACGTTCCTTACAAGCTTCTCTTATTCGTCGATCGTAAGGTATAAAGGATTATTCCAAATTTTTTGAAAAAAACAAAGAACATTTTACTCATTTCACCACAATGGATGATGACAGCTTTGATTTTACAGGTGGCCGATGTGTTCTTCGATGTGGAAACATACGTTCCCTCTTTGGTGAAGCAAGCTTCTAGGCAAGCGCTCACCGTGGCCACTGAGGTGAAACGCGCCGGCGTCCTTGATACGACCAAGAGCATCGCAAGGAGCGTTTGCGACAAGTACGAGCCAGTCGCTGAGTATTACGCAGCAACGGTGTGGCGGTTGTTGAACAGAGTGCCCTTATTCCCTGAAGTTGCGCAGTTAGTGATACCTACGGCGTTTTACTGGTCGGAGAAGTATAACGACGCGGTTCGTTACGTTGGGGACAGAGACTACTACGTCGCCGAGTACCTACCAATGATTCCTATCGAGAAGATCTCTGATATTTTGGAACAAGATCACTGTCGAGCCCACTAGTGGACTTAAGCCAGACATGTTCCTTCTTTAAGATCACTTTACATAATGTAACTCTGTTTTTTTTTTCTTTTTTTTTGCAACGCAAGTCATTTCAAGCTTCTTTCAGTATTTCATTTTAAAGAATTAATTTGCCTTTTCTAATTAAAATAACAATGAGTGTAAGAGACAGCATCTTTAATGAACTGTCTTCTTTAACAGTAGAAAGACACACAGAGTACAGGAGTGAGCGGAGTTTCTATGTGAGTGAGAGACACCATATATATATAGTTTTTGATAGTAATCTCCGAGGCAACCTTTTAATTTTGCCAACTGTGAGGTGTTCCCACGTTGATCACCCTAAAGAATGGCCACCAAAGTCAAAAAAGGAAAGAGTGTTGTACTCAGAGCACCATTATCGCAGTAGCTTAAGCAGGTTGCTTAAGATAATTGTAATTAAAAAAAAATGAAAATTACATATTTATGGAAGCAACGTTGTTTAATTAGGAGAAGGAAGCTACGTTGCTTATGGGACAGGTGTCACACATAGAAGTCTCCTACTATCTCTCATCGTCGTTATCATCACCATCGTCTCCGTTTTCTCTGAATTTCAAAACTGGTACATTTGGTACTCGCTGCGTGAAGGGTGGTGTGAGAAGCTTAGAGAATCAGTCTGGTCACCGGAGCCTCAATGCGTTACTTCTCTGTTCTTGATCCGACGCCCTCGATTGATCTTATCAAGCTTCATTGAATTGGGTTTTCAGTTTTAATGTAATTTAATTTTCTGGGTTTGATTGTTTTATCATAAAGTTTTGATCTTTGATGATATCTCTTCTTGGGTTTTGCTTCTATAGATCTCTGTCCTTACCTTGTTGTATATGATGACAACGACTTTGTAAACGCGAACAGTTTTAAAGAAAGCTCCAGGAGGTGCACCTGCTAATGTAGCTGTTGGTGTCTCTAGTCTCGGTGGATCCTCTGTTTTCATGGAAAAGGTTTGATGATTAATTAATCAGTCAAATGGATCTCTTGTTGTTTAAACTCTAATCTTAGTTTTCAAAATTTTAGGTTGGTGATGATGAGTTTGGAAAAATGTTAGCTGAGATTCTAAGGCTGAACAATGTGGACAACTATGGGATGAGATTCGACCACAAAGCACGTACAGCTCTCTCCTTTGTTACATTAAGAGCTGATGGAGGGAGGGAGTTTCTGTTTTGACTTTTGGAGATGAGGAAGCTCCTTGTGTTTGAGCTTGGTTTTCCCAATTTACATGTTCATGGGTTCTTATAGAGTGAAGTGATCACTGATGGTTCTCTCACCGTTTTAGTGTTGGTGCTTTGTTTTAATTGAAGCCTGAGGTGTTTTATGAATAGCAGAAGCTTAAGCAGGAGACTGTAGACTGATGTTTCTTGCTATTAATTTTTGTGTAAACTAGTCTCTTAAGTCCATCCTCTCTGATCCTTGTACTTGTTCAGGTCCAAGACCTTCTGTCTCAGTGTGGAGAGCATCTGGAGAAAGGTGATATCCACCAGGGTCCAGCTGTGCTTGGGTTAGCGATGGTGAGTTATCTTTGAGCCAGACAAGATTTTCTCTGAAATCTAATATATTTGTTGTTTTTCCAACGGTTGTAGCTCGTTTCTTTGGCTCAAACTGGACATGAGATATCGCGTAATGTTCCTCATAGCGATGGTATAGTAGTGACTAAAGCATGAGTTAATGTATGGTTCTTTGTTTCTGAAAGATATATATGGCTTATTGCAGTTGACTTCATGAATATGAATCCTCCTGTAATGGAAGGTCTGGATGTGTTAATGACGGTTGGTTAGTACTGGTCATGCAGTTTCCCCTTTTGATGTCGTTTAAATAACTGTTACTTACAATTGTTCATGTATGTAATAATGAAGATGAAGCATTCATCATCAAAGTCCAGTGATCTTAATGTTTGTGTTTCTTGTGTCGTTGATGTTCTGAGTATTGTGTCATGTCTTGTGTACTCTTCTCAAAACATTTCTGAGAGTAATGTTGATGAGAATTAAAAATCCTAGAATAAGAGCTTTGCAATGGAGGAGGAAAAGTATCAAGGTGCTTACCTATGTCTCTTACTAAAAATAACTCTTTAAATACTATTATAATATAATTAAGCAACTCATCATAAGTTGTTAGGATAATGATGCTCTCACACTCTTTCATCATGCTCATTGATGTACCGTCGTGATTGTCAAGAAACCCAAGCTCAACTTGAGCTTTTTTTATACATGAGCGTCATCTCACTTTTTTTATAATATATATACTACTATTTTTTTTTTTTCAATTCTTAGAGCAGCCTCAACCAAGATGTTTAAGGGGTGTTTACACTGTTGCCCCATAGACACGTGGTTTTCTAACAAACATATGGCTCGAAGATTTCCAAGCGGCCCTTTATAATATCTTTATATGTAATCTTGTAAAATGTTTTTTTTTTTTTTTTTTTTGAAAAAGGACATTGTAAAATGTATTCTTGTGAATCGGAATAAATGTATGCATGACATTAGTACAGCAATCCATTCTACGCCAATATATATAACATGATAACATTTTTAAATTACCATTTCAAGAGTTACGGGATTTATACAATTTACACTAATGTCTACAAATGTACTCAGTAAGATATGCACCCTGCACTAGTATCTATAAAAATATATATACATGATTAAACCATTCAGTTTTTTTTTTTTTTCAAACACAACAATCCATTTCTCAAAAACTTGATGATCAAACTCCACTAAAGAAGGAGATCTTTCAGTTCTCGGACACATACCCGAGGGTCTCAAAGCAAGGAAAAACTCACTACTACGGCAATGAGTCAGGCTTGAGTATCTATTTTATATATAATTAACCTTCTTTATTTGGATGGTCCCAGGGGTCTAGGGCTTATAAAAATCAAAAGAAGGACAAGTAAGAATGGTCCTGGATTTATGGACCACTCGCTTAAGAAATCAATTAAGCAAATATTTATTCTTATATATGCTAAGAGTATACTGTTTAGAAAGAGACGAATATAGTAAATTCATAACTACATAAAGTTTAAATATTGATTAGATTTTAAAACATCACTGAAATAGTAAGTTTTTATCTACTTGATATCTGTACGGAATGACATTTCAGTGTTGATTAGTTAGTGTGAAGATCTGTGTGCAAATGCTAATAGTGATGATTTTTTATATATACTGAACAAGCCAGTGGCGTCGACAAAATTGTTTGATTTATATTAATATTTATGTACATTCCACAAGTACAAAACTATGTTGAAAGTTTACATGATATATAATTTGATCTTATTAGGGCAGAACCCCATGCTAGATATTTTCACTTTCCAGAAAAAGAAACCTACAAACATGATTTTGCATTATACATAAATCGGTCTATAGCTTTCATCATTCATGATTGAATACTAAGATGACAGAAACAACCGTTTAGGTGGGTTATGGCAAGGCTTGCACGAATGATGTTCTGCAAAGATTTATTTTATATCAGTCGACTATACTTGAATCGTTTGAAAATTAAAAAGAAAAGGCCAGGAAAACTCATCCTCCTAATACTGGTTCATTTATCGCTGATCATATGCATATATCATATGGACATATATATATACCAGTCGCCACTTTCTGAATCCATAGACCATAATCAGGAATTTATCCGATACATACTTTATGAATGTATATGATTAACTGAAATAAAATCGAAAACACTCTTAATTTTCACGATAAAAATTAACAAACTCAGGAAGAACGACTAGCACATATCTCTCCACAGTCTCAAACCACATACACATACCATAAATAAGAGTCGGAGAACAAACAAGAGCAGTGAAAGCAAATTAAAAAAAAAAAAAAACAAGAGCATATAATTAAAAAAAGAAATCAACAATTAACCACTGATCAATCAATTATCCGGTGAAGATTTAGCTCCTCCTTTGCCGTGGTGATTGGATCTCTCTCCTTCAATAACTCTGTAACGATTTAAGTACTTTTTGAGCTGCTCAGCGTAATCATCAAACCCTAGATTTGCCATAGCCCAACAGATATCGTCACCATTAACTGTTTTTCTCTTCTCTTTGTGGCATTTATCGGAGGCTTCTCCAGTGACAAAGCTTATGAACTCAGAGACACATTCTTGCATAGTCTCTTTTGCTTCTTTAGAGATCTTTGCGTTTGGTGGGAGAATGTTCTTCATGATCCTTCCCACGTTTGCTATCGGAAGTAGCCTGTCTTGCTCTTTTATCACCATGTTTTCCTCTTGTTCCACCACTAAACCCTCATGGTGCTGTTGATGGTGAGATGAGCTGCTCGCAAAGTTGTAATTTTGGAATCTAGGGACTGGGTTTTGGAAGGAAGGATAGTTCCCAGCCATCAAACCTTATAGAACAGAGGATAGATCGTTATAGTTAAAGTATAACAACAACTGCTGATACTGAAATTTTGAAACGAAAATATGTAATACGCCAAGTAATGATGGCATAAAAGAAAGAGTTAGGGAAGGGAGAGGTTCTTACATTACATTTGTATGTATAAAATTGCTAAATAGTCGTTTGACATAGATTTGTGTTGTTAAATTTGCTTTATTTATAAGTAGACAGTTAATGGAGCTAAACAATATACTAAAGAAGCTTTATATTTTGACCAAAAAAAGAAAAAAAAAGAAAAAATAATAATTTACTAGTACGTATCTATACTATTATTTGCGAAGTGATTTTTCGCAACGGAGCTCCCACATTAAAAGTTGGAGTGGTTAATATCGTTTATACCCTTTATGAATAAAATATATAAATTAGACATAAAATAAAAACGAAATTGATATTTATTTGATTAGATAAATGATTTAAATTAATAATAATGATAAGAGTTATCCATAATCTAAATATATATTTAAAAAGAAAAAAGATAATTCCTATATATATTGTGTTGTTATCCGGAAAATATATTTTAATAAAAAACCAAAAACAGAAAACACATAAATAAATACTCATAAAGAAACTTTTTAATTGTACATAATTGAAAAGAGAAAATTGAAAAATTTATAATACGTAATTATTTTCTAATTAAAAGAATATAATAATATAACATAATAATATATATATTTGTGAAGTAATTTTTCGCCTCTGAACTCACACGTTAAATTAAATTTATTTTATGCTTTATATAGTATAACATTAAACATAAATTAATCATAATAAAATAAAATATCATTCAAAAAGAAAAAAAAAACATTGTTGACAAAATAATTTCAAATATATTGTATTATTATCCAAACTAATATTATTCTTTCTGTAAGATCAATTTTTGAATGTATATTTACTGATTCAATTTATCAAATTGAAAGATAAGTTTCTATATTTTTTTATCAATTGAGAAGAAATGAAACGATTTTTAGATTTTGTTTTCAAAGTTTTAAAGGGATAAAACGTTTTCTAATTTATGAATAATTTTATCATGTAAAAACGTTTAATGTTTTAGGTCTAATTTTTTGGATGAAAATAATCATTTATTTTGATAATTTTTTAAATTGTTTTAAAAATTATTAAGCCCGCATGTGCGGGCAAAACACCTAGTAATACAATTAATAGACGCGAACAAAGGAGTATTTATGTTCAGTCATCGAGGGTGATAACGTGGCATACAACCAATGAGAGAGGTCTAGGTCAATAAGCCTCACTGGGGAGACAATGTGGCAGGTCAAGCTAACTTCTCCGTTTGCTTCTTTAATTCTAGAGACTAATTAATTCCTCTTAAACTTTTTACTCTTACACTTTTTAATGATTATATTTAGTAATATTCTCTTTCTAGAGTTGTTCTTTAAAAGCATGCTAACAAAGGTATATTTTAATAAAAATTTATGCAACATATATACATAACATAATAGTGCATTAGTTGGAGCTAAAACTAATATAACAATTTTAGCCCTTCCGATGACACTAGGGCTGGGCATTTTATCCGTTATATTTGATTCGATTCGTTATTCGTTTCGATTCGATCCGAAAAATCTGGATATCCGTAAACTTTCGAATCAAAGCAAATACTAAAATTCAATATCCGTTAAAATCAAAGCAAATCACAAATATTAAAATTTTGGGAAGCGGATATCCGATCCGATCGGGAAATATATAAATATATGTATATCTTGATTATATTTAAAATATTAAATGTATAAAATTATATAATTATTATTCTAGCACATGATTTAAACAATTCTATTCACATTATTACTTATATAAAAGTATTACATAAAAGAAAGAAAAAAATATGACAATTATATTTTCTTTTTCTTAAATTTTCTGTTATTATAATTGTAACTTAAACTTACAAAAATTACAAAATATGTAAATTCATTAGTTTTTAATTTTTATATGATGCAAACAAATATTTTACAAAACAAATTTGTATCAACATCTTAAGATTATTTGTATTAATCAAAATGGATGAGATATCCGTAAATATTCGTAAATATTCGCAAATATCTATTTATTTTCCGGATATCCGTTTTTCCGGATATCCGTATTTTTCGAAGCAAAGCAAATACCAAAACTAGATATCCGTAACATTCGAATCAAATCACAAATACCTTGAAAACCCCGGATATCCGATCCGTGCCCATCCCTAATTATATATTCACATTTTCCCAACAATAACCCAGCTATTCAGTTACTCGTTATTACTAGTCTATAGGATGTATGATACGATGGGTTTGCCCAAAAAAAAAGGATGTATGATTCGATGGGCAAAAAGCAAGAGGAACAAATGATGCAAGGACTGAAAATAAATTAAGAATCGAACTCTATCCCCATTATAACAACCACTCGACCCTTAAATATTGCCCCAGATAATAATTTTCGAAGAAGATTTTGTTCAGAAATGATATTTATGCTAACTGTAGCATTTTCTGTAATAGTACACAAGGCACTTCGATCCGATTACGTTTAACACACTTCTAGTGTGATGTATTCTATGTAACAATAAAAACGTTATTTATAAATAGTATTTAAAATATTATCTAAAAGTGCGAATTACACGAAACAAAACCCTATAAAAGATTACTTGGAAAGTTCTAACCCTATATAAGATAGTCGGACAATGAATTTGGGTTGGTTGTACTCTTTCAGGTGTGATGGATCATATTACGTGAAACCAATCTTGTTGGAAACAATAGTTTCTTATACTGAGCCAATTAATGCGAGTGGATAGAGAGTTACAGTCAGTACTTATCATATATCATCTGCAAAATTTCAAATAATGACTTGTATAAGTGACAACTGTAAAAATACAAACCTTTAAAAATATACTCCTCTATTTCTAAATAAGTATCATTTTGCGATTTTTTTTGTGTTAAAATAAGTGTAATTTTACATTTCCAATACAATTTTTCATATATTATCTATTTCTTATCTTCTTAACCAACTCATAGATATTTTTAAAATTGTTTTTATTTAAATAATTATACATTAAATGAGGATATACTAATACATTTTTTTCATTGTTTACATATATGTGAAAATTGTTAAAATGACATTAATATTGAAACAAAGACAAAAGACATCATAAGTTTGAACCAAGCAGGCAGGTACTTAATAAATGTTAAATTATCATACTATTTGTGAAGTTAATTTTCCTGAAAACCATTATTTGGTGCCTAATTTAAATCTCTCTCAAATGAATCCGCCATAATCAATAGTGTGATCTTGTTCTATCATTACATTCTATTGCTTTAGTTTTTTTTTTCTTGTTGTTGCCAAATTTTCATCTATGTCATGATCCAATTTGGCCTAGTACGTCTTAAGGTCTACTTAGAAAAATGTGTTTTAGAGACAAACTTGGAGATAGTGAATATAATTGGGTAACAAGAGTGTTTTCTAAGGTCATTATTCAATATGTAAGTTTGTTACTTGTTGTGGAACGAGCTAGTAGAAAGAATCATATACAATTAATTAACAGTGAGTATCTATCATTAGTACCCTATATAGAATTAACAATTAAATAATTAAGAACTAAGAGTTAATTTAATAAACACCCATATCTAACTTGTGGACCATATAAGAGCACGTCGTGTGGTCTATAATTAGTAGTCTGCTTGCCAGCATTGAAGAGCCTATAATTAGGTAGTTTGTAGCTTCTTAGGTTGTTATTGGATTCTTTAGAGTAAACTGAAGTAAGGAAAAATGGTGGGAAATGGCGAAAAGGTAAATGGCGAAAATTAGAAAAAAAAAACAAAAAATGCAAGTGTTATTACGCTAGCAAAATATATTTTTAGTAATGAGAATAAATGATACTCCATCCGCTTCAGAATATTTGTTATTTTATGCTTAATTTTTTTGTCACAAAATAAGTATTTTTTTAGAGTTTCGAAACAAAATTTATAAGTTTTATATAATATTATATTTTTGATTGGTTGAAAAGTGGTTAAACGTATAGGTAATTATGTTTTAATCTTGAAAATATATAAAATTAAATGTTTTCTTAATCTATATATAAAATCTAAAATGACATTTAAAGTGAAACGGAGGGAGTAGAAGTTAGTAATTCACTTGATTGATACGTTCATATTGGTATGTAGAGTAAACTAATATTTTGAGTAAATATTTACTCCACAAATACTATTCAATCACACTCTTAGTGTTATTGAATTTAAAGATAACGATGATCCTTTATTTATACTTTACGTGTTTTGTTAGTTTATAATTTTATATACGAGAATCATGTGTTAGAGACGAAACAAATTATGATCTTTATAGTGCCTTCTCGTAGTCGGACGAGTATTTGACCTTGTTATCAAAACATTCCCGTATATGTTTTTAAGTTACAGGAAGTATTAATTTTTTTTTAACACCACAGGAAGAAAAAAAATCTAAAATATGCAATATCTATTTTGACAGGAAACATGTAAATGCTTTTTTTTGGTGAGTATGATGTAAATGCTTTTTTTGATTTTGGTGAGTATGATGTTCTAGAAGTATGATATTTGGGTTTTATTTTATTTTATATGTTTTCCCCAAAAACCTAACTCAGGTGGTTAAAATATATATATATAGCAATAAATTTTATTTTATTAAACTGAGGACAAGTGTCGAGATGGTGGATGGGACCACCTTGTAACGGATGAACAAATTATGTACGCCTTTGGTTATATAATTGACTAATTGCTGATGATGATGCTCAAAGCATTTATATTAAATAAAGTAGTTCAAAACAATATGCTTAAGCATTTTTGTATTATAAAGTAGTTCAAAATAACATGCTTAAGCATTTATAATATTTACTTGCTCATTAAACTAATTTAAACCTTTTAATCATCTCTTCTTCTTAAGTCGTAACCATATAATTAATGAGAGCCATTTTCTTTAGAAAGCTAGGTCATGCTTATATGCCATAGTTGTTTTGCTAAAAAGTTTAGGTGAGAATAACAGTATCCCTATAATAATTAATAATGTAACTAAAGTCATTAGTTGGGGAACCCATAAACAAAAGTATACATACATAGTACAGGTTTTACGATATTCAATTCTAAATTTGATCACTAAATATATACCTTTTTAGAAAGATATACAGTAGAACCTCTATAAATTAATATTCGATAAATTAATATACACTAAATATCTCTATAAATTAATATAATTTTATAGTCCCAAATTAAGTTTTTGGTTCAATTAGTATATCTATAAATTAATATCTCTCTAAATTAATAAAAAAATAAAATTTTGGTGTAGTTCCAGCATTATTAATTTATAGAGGTTTCACTGTACTCTCAAATGACTTGATAAAAAGCAAATACTATTAAGGAATATATCGTCAATTCTCCATTATCTAATAAGAAATAAATAAACTGATTTCGCAAAAGAATTTCCCTATAATTTATTCATGTAATAGAAAGAAGGATTCGTCATCAATTATTATATTACCGTAAGTAGTTTTCATGGCAATATTATAGAAAGAAGGATTCGTCATCAATTATTATATTACCGTAAGTAGTTTTCATGGCAATATTATTTCCTAGTTGTTAAGATTGAGTTTAGTGTGCGACTCTAGTTTTGTGAGTGGGTCCATGCATTAATTATTTACTTGTAATAAATTATTTTCTGAAAAAAATATTTTATCTCAGTTTTCTCGTTAATTCGATAAGAATCTAAATATAAATACATACTCTGACGAACATATTTATATATACTCTTTATACATATCTGAAATATGTTGAGCTCACTCTCCGCAAACTTCTTTTTAGTTTTGTTCATTCTTGACCAGTCTAATTTCGCTTCATTTCCTTTTGGCCGAACAAAAAAAACTCTAGTAACTAGCAGCTCCAATGGGAGTTTTCCCCCTTAAAATTCCTAATATATGTATTATATATATATGTATATATATTATATATATATGTGTGTATATATTATATATATATAAGTAATTATGGAGTCTACAGTTTTTATAAAACGTATAGATAAGGTTCTTAAAAGAGTGTTTTAAAGATATTAAAGAATTTTTTTTTGGGTTCCGCAATACTTATAACTCCCACAATTATTTATGCATATATAGTATATATATAATATATATATTAAGAATTCAAATGGGGAGAACTCCATTGTATGTTCAAAAAAAAAAAAAAGAACTCCATTAAAAATAGCTTAAAAATATCATTATTCATAGTTTTTTAGAGTGGAGTTCTTAAGAAAATATAAGAAATTATTTTTTTTAACTTTTTAGTTAAAAATTAAAAAATAATTTATTATATTTTTCTAAGAATCTCACTTTAAGAAACAATTAAGGAAATATATGCTCCAACTGACTGATGAGACTCTATTGATACTTAATTAAATGATTGCATGTTTGCTTAGGTTTAAATCAGGGTTAGAAATTTGTATAACCAGCTTCCATACGTTAGGGATTACATCCAATGCCGGTTATGCCCATCAGTGGCCGCCGTCGAATCTTATCTTTTTCTTCTTTTGGTCAAATCCGAATCTTATCTATTAAATTAAAACTTATTAGGTGACATTGTGGAGTGATTACAAGCAAGCAAGGCTTCGGCTCAACTTTAACCTTCATTATATCTTGAATCAAATGACCTTTGATTAATTTCTATGCCATGAATAGCATAGTGGGCTAAGACACAATACAGGGAGTTATATGAGCCTTGGGGATTGTAATGGTTTAGTTAAATTTGGGCTTTATATTAAGGAAGTTTGGTGATGATATAATTCGGCCTCTTTTTCACCCACAAAAAATTTAGGGATTAGATTATGATTTGTTTCTTCGTAAAATTCGCTTGGAAATATCAAATCCGAAGGTATAACAAGGAAAGAAAATGAAAGTAATAATAATAAAAAAAAAAGAACGTAAATGATAGATAGAAGAGAGAAAAAGGAAAAGAGAAATTGAAAGCTAAAAAAAGAAAGACTGAAGAGCAGAGAGAGTGTACGGTAGTCTTAAGAAGAAGAAAGACTGAATCAGTCTTTGTCTATCTGTCACTCTTCTTTTAATCTCTCTCTCTGTAGACTTGGGGGGAGTACTTTCTTCTCCAGTAGATGATCTCCTTTACTTAGTTATACTCTCTCTTGTTTGTGCAGAAGGTTTAGGTGTGTGTGTGAGAGAGAGAGCATTTTAGTGTAGAGAAAAATCCCTAGAAAAAAGAGGAGGAGAGGTTTTCCGATGGACATGTATGCTACCCAATGGACCTCAGGAGACGCCGACACCACCGGACTCCAAGGTAGGTCTCTCTCTTCTTTCTTTTAAATGATTCTCGCATGCTCGCAACTCCTAAACAAAACAAAACAGTGACTCTTCGTTTTGTGTGTTTGTTGTAAATAATGTGGCAGAATCAATGTGGAGATTAGGGTTTGGGAAGAGTGAAACAAGGTACCCAGAGAGAGCAGGTGCCCCTGACTGTGCCTACTACATGCGTACTGGTGTCTGCGGTTACGCTTCTAGATGCCGTTTCAATCACCCTCCCCATCCTTCCACGGTAATAACAACTTTAAATCTTTCTGTTTGATCTCCAGTTTCTTTCTATATATATACAAAAAAAATGTCTCCTTCCTTTTTTATCCTGTAAAATGTGGGCTTTGCTTTCTTTTGAACTGGGTAAAAGTGTTAAGCTTTAGTATTTTCCTGACAGTTTCTCTTGAGACAACTTTATCTTTACTCTGTTTATGTCCTCCTCCTCCTTCCCATCTGCTGAGAGTGTTTTTGTTTGGTGCTAATGGTTCAAGCAGCCTCTCTTTGTCTCTCTTGCCCAGTGTTTACAAGCTACTATTTTGCTTCTATCTATCTCTCTCTATTATAATGTATGTATGTAGGTTGAAGCAACTGTTAGAGCCACTGGACACTATCCTGAACGCCATGGTTCCCTCCCTTGTCAGGTTAAACCACCCACCCCAACCAATTCTCCCTTCACAAAGTTTCTTTCTTTCTTTCTTTCTTTCTTAATTCACTGTAATGTTGTTTCTTTGCAGTTTTATTTGAAAACTGGAACCTGTAAATTTGGGGCTTCCTGCAAATTCCACCATCCAAGGAATGCAGCTGGATCATCATCCATCAGCCACGTTCCTCCTCTCAGTGTCTGTGGCTACCCTCTACGACTGGTATAACGCTTCTTTTTCTTTTTCTTTTGTTATAACCCACATCTCTAATGATAGAGGTTCTCTTCTCTTCTCTTTTCTTTGTAGGGTGTAAACGAATGCTCTTACTTTTTGAAAACTGGGCAATGCAAATTTGGTATCACCTGTAAATTTCACCATCCTCAGCCTGCTGCTCCTGCTGCAACTCTCCCACCTCCAGCATCTGCACATCAGTTTTATCCATCGGTGCGACAGCAGTCACTTATCCCTGGACCTCCATCCTCTAACTTGAGACCTCTTCTTCCCGGTTCTTATTTGCAAGGCACCTATGGTCCATTGCTATTAACCACCCCAGGGGTCCTTCCTATTCAAGCATGGTCTCCTTACTCGGTGATTCTTGTTTCTTCTAATTCAATTACTTTCCACTTTATTTTTTTTGTGTTTAACTTTTGATTCTCATATTCCAGGCACCTGTGAGCCCTGCTCTATCTCCTGGTGCAACTTCTTTATATGGAGGAGTTACACACCTCTCTTCCACCACTCCTTCCCTTCCCCGGGTCGGTGTTGTTCAGAAAGTAGAGAGCTTTCCAGAGAGACCCGGTCAACCAGCGTGCCAGTACTATTTGAAAACTGGAGATTGTAAGTTTGGAACATCTTGCAAGTTTCATCATCCTCGCGATTGGGTTCCTACAAGACCTAACTGCGTCCTCAGTTCCCTTGGTCTTCCTATTCGTTCGGTATGCTCGCTCTCTTTCTATAAAAATTCTCAGCTACTTTTGATTGTCACAATGGTCATAGAGTAACACCCTTTTTCTCTAATAGGGTGTGCAACACTGCACTTTCTACGTACAAAACGGCTTCTGTAAGTTTGGGTCAACATGTAAATTTGATCATCCAGTGGGAACCATCAGATACAATCCTTCTGCGTCCTCCCTCGCTGATGCACCCGTAGCTCCTTACCCGGTGGCGACCTCTCTCTTGGCCTCTTCTTCTTCTTCGTCTGCTGAAGCACATCTAACATCTGGGGATGATCCTTACTTGCCAGCGTCAAGAAGCACATCTAACATCTCCGCAGGTTTGATATTCTCCCAGAATGGCGGCGGCTCTGTTCCATTCACTGACCTCCAGCTTTCCAGCCAGACATCTCTTTCCCTAACCGCTAGCAGAATCACAAGACAAGGTCGAGAAATCCGTAGATCCTTTTGAAAAAAGAGGGTAAGCATTACGCAGGCCTCTGGATCATTCTTAATATTATATATAGAAGATTGTGATGTGAGATTATAATCTCCCTCCCTACCTTAAAACGAACAAGTCTAGTTGAGTAGAAGAACCGATTTGAGAATCACATATATAAGAGGAAATGTATATGTGCATATATCAGAAAAAAAAAAAAAAAAAAAAAAAAAAAAA